ACTTCTCAACAACTATCTTCTATACGTGCTTGCCTTCAATCACTGTTGCCTATTATCCACAGTTACTTATGATCGTGCTGTCAGTTAGGACTTTTTCCATAACTACTATCGTCCATGATCTTTCTTCGTGTTTTGAACCTTTCATTGATAGTAACTGTGGATAACTGCTTTGAGACTTGTAACTCTTTCCATATCACTTTTTGAGCTCTATCATGTTTCTTGTGAACTTAGAATATTTTTTCTTAAGTTCCTATTTTTCGAGTAATTTCTGAGAAAAATCTGTGAATTCATTTAGTCTTGTGGACTTAGAATAATTTTTCTCCCATTTTTTATTTTTCGACTAATTTTGGGAGAAATCTGAAAACTCTTTTAGTCCTGTGGACTTAGAATAATATCTCCTCAGTTTCTATTTTTTGGCCAATTCTGAGAGAAATCTGAGAGCTTATTTAGTCTTGTGGACTTAGAATATTTTTCCTATGATTTTCTATTTTTTGAACAATTTTGAGAAAAATCTAGGAGCTCATTCAGTTTTGTAAACTTAAAATAATTTATCTCTCAGTTTCTACTTTTTGACCAATTTTGAGAGAAATCTGAGAGTTCTTTTAGTACTGTGGACTTAGAATAATTTATTTCTTAATTTCTACTTTTTTACCAATTCTGTGAAAAATCTAAGAACTCCTTCAGTTTTGTGGACTTAAAATAATTTTCTCATCAATTCCTTTTTTTGAGTAATTATGAGGGAAGTTTGGGATCTCATTCAGTTTTGTGGACTTAGAATATTTTTCCTGTCAATTCCTGTTTTTTGACCAATTTTGTGTATCAGGGACTTAAAAATCCTCAGAAATCCCTTGAAAAAGCTTTCAGTCTTGTGGACTTATAATAATTTTTTTGTCAATCATATTTTTTGACTAAAAATAGGCCTCTTCATGTTCTGTCAAAAACTGCTCAAAATATGACATTCTTGAAGAGGCTCTAAGATTCTCCAAATCTCTACCCACTTTGATAAAGAATGAGTTTTCTTATAACCCTTCAAAACTACTCAAAATATGGTTTTTTCTTTGATGAAGGATGAGGCTCTTTTCATGATTCCTCAAAAACTACTCAAAAATATTATTATTTTTAGCATGAAAAAGCTCTTCTCTAGACCCTTCAAAATTTCTCGAAAAGTAGATCCTTTAACCGAATTTTAAAACTTAGATAATTTTACATGTCCATAGTTTGTTAAAATGTGAAAGCCTAGGATTTTTTAAATTTTAGTCGAAGGTTATGTCCACACTATTGAACTTCGAAGTGTATTTCTTCTTAAAAGAACATAATCTATTTCCTACTATAAAAGTCTAGTAAAAGATTTTATAACTTAGAAATTTATTTTTTTCCCTCAAATATATATGATTTTCAATTGATCTTGTTTTGGTTACATGAGCCATGTTAAGCAGGTTCACGTAATTTGATATACTAAGTTGTAAGTTGGATTTGTGGTTTTAGAAATTAGGATTTCCCTTAATCTTTGTTTCAGATTTTGGCTTGCGATTTCAGAAGTTGAAAACTTGACTCATTCCTTAAATAGGGTAATAAATGAGTGCAGCCATATACCCTAGTAGGTGCAGCCAGTTAATTTAGATTTTTTTTTTTTGAGGAAGTGAAAGTAATAATTATAACTTAAAATGTATTGTTTATATGAAAAACAATTTATATGATATGGAATCATGGTAGATTTGATTACTTAGCATTTGACATGTGTCAAATATTGATTGGTCGCGATCACTGTTATTCTGAATCATATAAAAAAATTTCATTATCTAGGTATGTGCATTATTTTGCTGCAAGAAATAGATAATTCTTGTCTCTTCATTTGTGATAATATATAGATTAACAATTGTAATTTATCTTATTATATATTAATATTTTAATATTTAAGAATAATATTTACTTTGATATTATTTCTGTTTAATAATAAAAAGCATATAAAGTATTGAACAATATTAACCAATGTCTTTAAGGGACTATTGATTAAGAAATTTAAAATAAAAGTTTAAGGGACTATTATTAATTCATCCTCTTGTGATTTTTAATGTTTTTTTTATTAAAAAAAAGCATTCTTTAGCTAATATCTTATATTATTAATTTACAAGATCTTAACATATTTACGAATTAAGGGCACAGGTAAATAAATAATAAATAATGATGTCTTTAACTTTTTAATTGAGAGATAAACAAACAAAATTTTCTTCTTAACGTAGACAGATAAAAAAAATAGAGGAAGGATTCCATGGATCTTGAACGTGTTGGATTTACAGAAATATGAAATTTGAATAAAATTCAAATGTATGAAGACAAAGATAACTTGCTTTTACTTCACAGAGAAGTCGATATCATATGCTACTAAAGACCAACTATATAGATTGAAGTTGAACATATTTACATATCTTTCCAACACAGCTAATTGGTTATTAAATATGCAAGTGCTGTAGTGCCTATAGCAATCAACAACATGCATGTACTATCACATTAATATGCGCAATATGAAAGGTCAGACTCAGATGACGAATACAGAGAGATCATCAATATACATATACTAATAATGGTTGGATGAAAAGGACGTTGATAATGAAACAATGAGTGCACAAATTTCCTTTTTGTCCTTTCTTAAGATTGTGTGGCACTAATTAAGCATAGATTTCAGGTTTTTGAGTGGTACACCTTAATTACTTGGTATGTAAAACTGTTATTGATTACTGATTTGTTTAGTTTATTTCTGATTGTGATCTTTTGATGCTGCTATTGCTACTCACATATCTAGACGTAAGATGAACAATCCTTTTTGGGCTCCAATCGTATTCTATCCAATGTGTTGGAAGCATTCGATGCTTTCTTATTTAAAAAGGATCTCATTCTTCACGAGGATGGTCTTTGTTTATATCCCTCTTGTCTGAGAGCTTGAGAATTTGGTTAAGATAGTACTTCCTAATTTTGGTTATTTACTCATAAAAGTAGCTTGAAAAATGAAATATAATTTAATTTTTGTTTTTAATTATTTACACCAGCAGTCACCTGAAAAAAAGTGATTCTTCTATATGATTTGCTCAAGATCTCTGATGCAGATATCAAGGTCATTTGGCAGTGAGAGAGCAAATGTGTATTGGGTATGTTTCTCTCCTTACTCTAGCTTTTACCTTGTTAAAATCCAAGGCTTCTTTATAGCCTTTAAGGTTCACTTGCTGGTGCAATTGCAAAGACAAAGTTCTTCTACTTTTTCCTTTATCAGTTGAGGTTTGCCATGTGTCAGTTCCTAACATTTCTCAACCAACTCTATTTTTAGTTGTGACATGTCTCCACAACCTAACATTATCAATACAAGAAGTGGCTACAGTGCTTCGATTTAAGATGTCTGGATCATCAGCGAAGAAGGTAGGTTATAAAAAATCTCAAAAGTCAAACTTGTTTTAATGCTTAAACTAACAAACTTCCAATTCAGGCTTGTTTGAGTATAATTTGACAATAGGTATTTTCTAAGGCAAATTAATATAAAGTTTCATTCCCTTACGTGATGACAACTTAGATGGGTTATTGCACTTGGATCTTGCTAGCTTTCTTTTCTCTACTGAAAGATGGTGGTGCTCGGTCCAAATTATGTATTGGAGGCTTAGACTACGCACAGGTATCATAACCCCTTTATGTCGGGTGCTAACTACATGTAAAAACCTATCTTTGAACCATTCGAACGCAAAGCAAACATAAATTCTTAAGCTTTATTTTTTCATTTGAAACCATGCCAATTAATTGTAATTTTATATTATTTATGTCCATCATATGCGTCATGCGTGCTGTAGTTAGTGCTTTCCTTAAAATAATAGGTCAATGTCACTCACAATCCATAATGGGCACTAAACACACTTCTCTGTTTCATCCCATTATTTTACTATAAACCTTTAACGTTTTTTTTGTTTTTTTTTTTAAATTCACTTAATCTTCCAGTGAAACAGAAAGACTATTCGTGAGTGCAATAGTTTCTTCAATTGCCTATTGATTTCTTTTGTTAGACCTGGGATATGGAGTGTGCATTGTCTTTCCAATTGTAATACTCAAACACAGTATAAAAAGCTTAGAAGGAATTGAGGCTGTGAATATTGTTTTATTAAATGGAAATAAAAAGCATCACCTTAGTATGTAATACCATAGTTTACTGAAAATGTCAAACGCTCACATCATTGTTCAATAATTTTGTGTTAAAAACGGGAGTAACACAATATGTTGTGTCGGTATGAGCTGTCTTATTTACTTTGCGACTCGAATACATTGCCACTTAAAGCCATCACCATCAGTAGGTGAATATGTCAAATGTTGCTTCGGAAGAATTTAGCCTTTTAAGTAAATAATTTAATTAGATATTTGTTCAATAAATTCTTATTACATGACAATTCATAACATATATTTAATTATGAAATTTATCAAAATAAACTAAAAAACTATAAATAATAACATTATTAAATATCTTTTAAATGTTTCTTTGATTTAAAATTAATAGGATTGGTAATTTGTAATAATGATAATAATCAGAACCGACAGCGATCATCCTGAAATTGGATATTATAAAAATAAAATAAAATAAAATGGAGTGCAAGTAAAAGAATGTCCAACATAAATAAGTTTCTTCCCTTTTGCAAACATCCAACCAAAACATTAGTAGAGTAGCTAGAATCCGGAATCTCAGTCCCTAAAACGTGATTTTGACCGTGAAAGGAGGCAGCAGATTAAAGTTGTCGAACACAAAACCAACAAATATCATGTCACCATTAAATTGAAAGTATCTAGTAAAAAATTCGAGGTTCGAATGGATAATTAACTAAAAGTAGTCTAAGTTGGTAGCTGAATTTGACATTTAATGTCTAAGAAAGATGTGTAAAATTTATGTCCAATAACCATTTCCCAAGTAGTTTTAGTAAAATCATCTGCCCACAAATTCTTTTGCAGAAGGAAAATCAAATGAGATTTAAATAAGTAACAAAATGGAAATCTAAATATATTCATTTGATGATTATTTGTAGGAATTTCTTGTGGGGTGGGGGGTAGAAAACTTTTATTTATAGTTACAGTATTACACATTACAAGTATGGCACAAGCAAGCCCAGAAAAAAACCCTGACACTTAAAATGATGTACACCACTGAAACTCTGATACCTGAAGCCAATCCACGCAGGGTCTACATACAATATTAAACACCTCTTCACATAGTCATTTAGACTAAGCTTTAACACAATCATGTGCGGTATGCCATAGCCAATATTAACTGTAGTTTCAGAGTTTCATATATGATGGTCAGAGTGTGCAAAATTTTTGCAGAATAAATAGATATCTCAAGGGCTCAGCACAATCTGCACAGGAGATCATCTTAAAGGGAATTCATCACTCTCATCTCCTGAATTATCTCAGCCTCTGAACACATTAATCTAACTCTTCCGATGAATACTTGGGCTCGATACAGTTCGCGAAATGCTTGCAGTTCTTAGAAGTCTCCGAAATTCTGGTAAGCTGATTTTTCCGTCTTTGTCAATATCGGCTTCCTCAAGCAATGGATCAATGGACCCTCTCAGACCCGTATGCTAAAAAGCCAACAATCAGTGATATTAGTAGCAGCAAATGTGTATCCCATTAAAAAAAAAAAAACATCATTTTACAAATATGTATTAGAACTCAAGTGGATTAGAGTTTCTAGTGCACTTAAAGTTTGTTAAAGGATGTAGAAATTAGTTATGTTGCAGGAGAACTGTTACTGATTTCTAAGGAAATAATTTATCATTAAAAAAATTCTGGGAGCTTGAGAAAAGACATGACACCAACCATTCTAAGTTCATCGGGAGTAATATAGCCATCCTTATCCAAGTCAAATTTCTCAAAAGCTGCCTGTGACCGTTGCTGCCACTTCTCAGAATCATGTTCTTCCAATTGATGTACATGTAATGTAGCTGCCACAAACTCGGTGAAATCCACTAGCCCATCTGTGTTGCTGTCTATCTGCCAGCAAACAAGACAGTGATTTAATAGTAGTATTACAAAAGCAAAGAATGTGCAGATGTCAAAGAGAGAGAATAATGTCTCTAAAACCCAAAGATCCTTCATATCTTTCAAATTTTAAACATGGAAAAACAACTGATAAGTTGCCAAAAAAACTGCGGTGTATGCTAAGGATCATAGATACTGACCGCTTGCAATATCTCCAGTACACGTGATTCTTTCAACTTCCAAGGGAGATCTTTAGCAAGAGCCTGCACAAAATCTTCCCTTTAGACCAAAGGAGGAAAACTATATTCAAGGGGTTAATTACTCACTAAATGATAAGTCATTTGTTCAGATTTAATAGTCAGAAATCAGTTGATTAACGGGTTACCTGTCTCATCTCTTCAAGACTAATAGAACCATTTTTGTCCACATCTATTGCATCAAACTGATCTTTTAGATTAGACAACTCTTCTTCATTAAGTGTGCTAGCCAATGCCTGCAGAATAATGAAGTAATAAAAAAATTGGCGTCAAACAAGTTGCACGCACTATAACATGTAAAGGCTTGGATTAATTTGTCTTCTCACCCTCAGTGCAAATTGTTTCAACCGACTATACTTCACAAACTGCCGCATGTTGTTCAGGACAGATATATCAATAGGAATCTCCAATGCCTCTCCTCCTTCTCTAACCCATGGATGTGCTGGAAATATCAGAATTCATCAACACAACTCAACATTAGGGTCTAGCTTTGTTTAAAAATTTTTGAAAAGTAAAGTAAAAAAGATATACAGTTAGAATTCAGTTGTGTTTTTTTCTCCCAGTTCATTGTTAAATTGAGAAAACACTGTATGAAACACCATTTAGCATGACCGCCAAGCTTGAATTGGAACAAAAATTCTAAAAAAAACTGATGCATTAATTTGTAAGGATATTTATGATCCTCACTAATTTTGAAACTGACTATTTAATGGCACCCTTTTTTTACCTCTTAAATAACCAGTTTATTGATTGTAAATTTACTTTTTCATTGTTGCTATTATGTAACAGTAAGAGGGCAAAGGCTTGAAGCAACAATAAGGTTAAAGCTTAGTCACCTAGAGTACACAGGTTTAAACCATAGAAACAGCCACTCCGATTGTGAGATAAGACTGCGTACATTTACTATTTTATACCCCACCTGTTGGAGCCTTGTGCACTAGGTCGCTCCACTGTTGCATACTTGCAGCAAACTCTTTTTTCCTTTTCAAGATAATTTGTTGGTGGTCTTTTCGGTTTATGTGTAATCAATTATACAATATATTTTTCGTTTGGTCCATTATACTATTTTTTCAAAACTTTCCTCCTTTCCTATCTTCTTTATTTTAATAATTCAGCATACTAACTACATATAATTTAAGTGAACATTCATTGAATAATTGCAATCAATTGTCCTCAAAAAACAAAATGGTCTCAGGCAGGATAAAAAACATTTTAGGGGATGGATGCATGAAAGTCTAAAATGAGAGCAATTTTGCAATATCCATAGCTTCAATATTTCCTATAATTAAAACTCAAAATATTTTCATTTTTAGAAGGTAAAAAAAATTCAGCACTTAAATTCAGTGTTGAAAATGAATAGCTTTTAAATGCTATAAATTCTAAATGAGGCAGTGACCAAAATGTAATTGTTTCAAGGATAATAAATTAAATCAGTTGGATACATACATAGAGCCTGAGCAGCAGTATATCTTGCCCGAGGATCTTTTACCAACAATTTCTTCACAAAATCTTTTGCTGCATTGCTTATAGTTGGCCATGGTTTCCGCCGGAAATCAGGTTTATTCCGTAAGACCTGCATACAATATGATAATATATTAAATGTAATCTTACACAAACAAGAATAGATACCAAATCCCACATAAAGACATAAACCATAGGAAACTCATGTCATAATAAGTATACCTCCTTGAAGATACCATCCTCAGTCTTATCCCAAAACGGGCGTCTCCCACAAAGCAATATGTATGTAATCACACCAATACTCCATACGTCTGATTCAGGGCCTGACTTCCGTTTTAACACTTCCGGTGCAACATAGTAAGCACTGCCAACAATATCTTGAAACCTCTTTCCTATTTTGTTTTCAAAGAGAAGGAACTAGAACTCTCAAATAAAGATTGCAAGAACATGTTGAATGCAAAGGGGGATAACAAGGAAACATATCCATGATTAACAGAAATTCTTTTCCTCACCAGGTTTTATGAAATCAGATAAACCAAAATCAGTAGCCTTTAAAGGTGAATCTTCTCTGGTTGATTTGAAAAGAAAATTCTGCATGCAAAGAGGAGAAAAGAGAAAAGCATTTAATGTCTTGTAACACAACTCCATATTGCTTAGATATGCCTGTGAACTTGAGCACACCTCTGGTTTCATGTCCCGATGCACCAACCCATGTAAATGACACTGAGCCGCAACTTTGAGCATCTGCCTCACAACCACGGCTGCATCTTTTTCAGTATAACGACTATCCTTCCTGATATAAGCCAAGGTAGACAGAGTAAGCTATGGTACAAAAAGAAAGAACATTGCTAAACACAAAATCATTTGGACTCATTATTGATCCTGGTTCTGAAATTTGAGCAGTAATAGACGTTCTGAAGAGCCACATAGCTAGGTAAAGACATAATCACACTCAAGATCAATCGGAACTTACTTGGCTAATATCCGATCTAACAGCTCTCCACCCTCGCATAACCTAAAAACACAAATTGTCAAGAAGTTCACTTTAACAATAACATAGATGTGTATATAAAGGAACAGTAGAGAGTAAACAAACGACAAATGATTTGATAAATCATTTTCCAAAAAATATATCCAGACTATATTTTAGTTAATCGATGATAAAAATCATATGAGCACAGTGAAACAAAAAAAAAAAATTAAGAACAAAAGTAACTTACTCCATAACTATGTAAACATATGAATCATCCTCAAAAGCATTATAGAACTGAACTACATTTTCATGGCCCGTAAGTTCTTTCAATATCTTGACCTCTCGCTTCACATCCTCAACGGCTATCGGGAGAACCATCTGCACCAAATTCAAGGATTGAGTAAAACTTCGGTAATCACGAATCTCGTATTTCGCATTTATTCAAAACCAATTGCAGGAATCGACAACACTAGCCGGATTCATTATTTCTCGGTCACTCTTTTATTTGAATTAACACCACTCTTGATAGCATTAATTAGCACAATCACGACCATCCCCAACGTAATGGTTGGAGAAAGTGGAATGAAAATGGAATTGCAAATAACTTCAATCGCACTCTCGATTAGGATTAGGAAAAACCCCAACAAAAGGCTTAATATACAAGTTGCGAAACAAGCCATAACTAATCAAGCTTGTTATAACAGGTAAAAACCGGTCATCCAAAAGACTTAAACCTCCAATAGAAAATTGAGCTCGTCGAGTTCAACATCGAACAAAATAATAATTGATGTCGTGAATCAGCAGACATTACAAAAATCCCTTTACAATCAACTAAGTAAAATGAATAAATAAATAATCATTAGCAATATCCAGCACCAAAATTAATAGTACCAGACCCATTAACCAAAGAACCACAATTGGAGAAAAAAACGAGGAAAAGAGCAAAAATTCGATTCCATTACAGGATAACGATCACGAAATCTAAACTGGATATGATACCTTGCTCTTCTCGAGTCTCTTAACGGCAACACGATCCCCATTTACTTTATCAACTCCAACATAGGTATAACCGAATTGGCCATGCCCCAACAATTTCCCAAGCGAGAATTTCTTATCAAAATCCTTCTCGTAACCGAAATCTGTTCGCTTTCCACAGGGAACATGCCCCCCTTGGCGGCGCGCGTTGGTTTTCTCTCTGGGTCGTTGATTCTTCTCCTCTGGCACTCGTCGGCGTTGACCCTGCGAGGCTTGGTTCTTATTCACCGTCACGGCTTGAGGCTTGGAACATTTACGGTAGCGATTGGAGGTGTTGTTGGCGTTGTTGCTGTTAGAACCGCTGACTTTGGTGGCGGAGAAACAGAGACCCATCGTCAGAAAATGTTGAAAAGATCAAAAGAAGGAGAAAGTGTTATCATTCATTGACAGAGAGAGAGAGAGAGAGAGAGAGAGAGAGAAATAGGAAGAAGAAGGAAAGGAGAGAGCAGGGACGAGGAAGAAGAGAAGAAGGTGATGGTGTTGTTGGTGGTCAAAAGAGACTTTTGAATGCGATGAGAAGAGAGAGAAACAGAGACAGAAACAATGGCGTTGGCTTTGCCCAAAACCAAAAACCAAACCAATTCCAATAATTCCCCGTTGGACGCTCGTATTGTAATTTTCTGTTTTTTAATTCTTCCTTCTTCAACTTAGCTGTCACTTCCCATGTTAGTTTGCATTTTTCACGTTTTGATCAAAATTTAATTAATCTGTTTTTCTTTTTGCTGTGGTGTGGTGTGTTCCTTTCCATTCTTAAATTATTTACTTGCCTCATTTAAAGGATATTACAGCTTGTCAAATGGAAAACCAATCCCTTGAGATTTTTTCTTTTCATTTTTTGAAAATTAATATTTAAAAGGGATAAATGTATTTAATGAACACTCCACAATCTTAAAAAAAATTGAATTTATGGAGACTCACATGAGATTATTGAATACATTAAAGATTGTTTATTGACTATTAAAATCTGAGTTCAATAATGTTTACTGGTATGAATAATAATTTCTTAAAGCAACCGTTTGCTAAAATTAATAAGTTTTCTTTTTAAATGCGAGAAGATAATAAGAAAAATGTTAATAATACACTGTGAGTAAAGTTTATTAAATTAAAATGAGATTTATATATTTTTTACAAATTTCAGTAAATTTTAATTAATAAAAAATAGTATTATTAAAATTATGTATTAAAAATTATGTTACTAATATTTTTCATAATAATAATCAAATTCGAGTTCAAAAAATTTCAACATTAACCATTATTTCATATTATAATAAATTTTATATATTAAAATTCGATTATCTCTATGATTCTCTGATTCTTCATATTTTAATTTAAAATGAGAATCCAATCAATAGAATTATACAAAATTTAAATTATATATGAATATAAATAATTTGTCACAAAAGAGTTGAACAATTTTTTGAAACCTTAATCATTCAATAATTAATATTTAAATTGATCTCTAATATGGTTAAAAATTTGTAATCAAGCAAATTCAAATTATCTTTTATTACAGTAAAAAATGAACAGTTAATTTAAGTAAAATTTAGTAAATTTGTTAAAGCAAATCTTTAATTTTTTAAATATTTATTCTTGGATAGAGAAGTTAGCAGGAAAGGTAACATAGATGACATTATTTGATGGATTAATAACTTGAAGCTTAGAAGGTGCACCTGGTTTGCTTGGAATATGCCCAACAATTTGGTTATGACTCAAATGAACGTTTTCAAGCAAAGCTAGCTTGCTTATAGAAACTGGAATGACTTTAGAAATGAGACTGTGATCAAAGGTAAAAAATTGAAGTTGGACAAGATTTTTCTTTCTCATTCTATCCCACTAGAGAGATTTTTGTGATGAGGATTAAGAATGGTTAGAAAAGGGACATTGTGATATAACTAAGACTATGGATTCAGAAAATGAGTTAAAGCTCAAGTTGATCCTAAATATCCAAGTGGAGTTAGCCAAACTGGGAGGGATTTTACCGGTGAGGGAATTATGCTAACTTCAAAAGACTAAAGCATTGGACAATTGCCAATGAAAGGAGGAATACAACCTAAAAGCTTGCGTATTGAAGACGATCTCCTCTTAAGGTTAAGAATGAAGCCAAATAACTAAGAGAAGATGGAACCTAAAAAATAAAGATTCGTCTTAGTAAATTAAATTTACTTTACTAAATTTTACTTAAATTTAGTGTCTACTTTTATTTTTGTTTAAGTGAATTTAAATTAGATGGTCTAATTTAAATATGTAATTAAACATATCATTATGTTTATTTATAATTTTTATGATATTAATGTTAATATATTGTCTTAAATTCATCTTAAATGCGAAGTAATTATTACAAAAGTTAATAATTTGTAATCTCATGATAATTCTCAACTAAAAATGCTAAACTATTATAAAGAGAATGTAAAAAAGTGATTTTAACTTTTAAGTTACTAATTAAAAAAAATATTTTATATTCACTTTTATTGGCCTACCTATAACGCATTTCTATTGTGATTTTTAATATTTTTTTTCTTGATTTCTAACTAGGATTATTGTTATCGTGTTTAATTACATGTATATAAATATTAAACTTTAAAATATAAAATAAATAAAATATATTAATATTCTTTAGAAATTAATGAAGTTTTTCTAGCTATTTTTTGCATTTTTAATAATATAATTAAAATACATCAACACAATAATTTTTTTTCCACAGAAGAAATTATTATATAATTAAAAATTATTAACTCTGTAACAATTACTTCATATTTAAATTTTTTGTGATTATTAATAATTTTTTATTGATTTCTAATAAGGACTATTGTTATCCTATTTAATTATTATACATTTTAAGTCTTATAACATTAATTAGACAAATTATATTCATATTCTTTGGAGTTTAGTGAAATTTTACTTGTTATCTTATAAGTTTCTTTAAATTTTTTTCTCAATTTATATTAAAAAACTGTGGAGATCTCTGTTGTTAAGAAAAATATATAATATTGTCTTGTTGCATACGTTAAAAAAAGGATATTTATATTGCAAAATTTGATTTTATAAATTTGATTTTTTTTATATAATTGAAAAGGACTTAACGTATAAAGAAAGAGCTTCTTTATCAGCAAAAAGAAAGAGCTTCTTAAGTGTTTGTAATCTTAGATTATAAAATTAATTTTTTTTGGACTGTTTAGCCCCTTTAATTTTAAAAAAGAAAAATTATAAAAATAATTATAGAGTACAAATTCTTAATATATCATACATGATCAATAACTTTTCACTTGAGTTTTGTGGTTGATCATAAACCATATTCTTTTATGTCTTATCACATTTCATATTAGTCAGTTTCAAAATATAAATTTTTATTTCTAATGAGTTAATGGGAAAAAAACTATTCACTGTTTTTTTTTATATTAATATTTTTTTAAGTAATAACACTAATTATTTTATTTTTTATATTAAAATTTCATTTTATCTCAAATCTCAATAATTTACATTTCAAATTAATTATTTTATTCTTTTCTTAAATGTATGTACTTTTTTTGTTAAAATATGTAGAATTTTTTATAGTTAAAATATTTTTATTCACAATTTGATTTTTTATATAATTTTAAAAATATCTTTCTAATATATGAAATTAATAAATTTTTAATGTAATATACATGTATTACTAAATTAAACTAAAATTTTAAATAAATAATTAAAACATACTGTATATGAATTTTAAAATTTATTGATTTTTGTAAATTTTATAAATTATTATCATTATTAAAAATTATTTTATAATATTAACTAAAATTAAATATAAATAAAATATAAAAATAAATTATAAGAAGTATTAAATTTATATTTATATTTAAAGTAAAAATTTATTACCATAATAAAAAAGAAAGAGAAAATAAGGTTTGTTTTTGGCATTTGAGAAGTTTCTAAAATTACTCTCACTTAAAATTTTGTATTCATAAATTATATATATAAGTTAATTTTTGTTAAGTTAAAAAAGTATTTAAAATAGTTTATGAAGTTTATAAAAATAACTTATAATTTTTTAAAATTTATTTTATGTTGTTAGTTTTTTTTACTAGTTTATTTTAATGAAATTTATAATCTTGTTAATCTTAGTCGGATTTTAAAGTATAAAAAATAATAAAATTTATTATGTTAACAATCAATTATAATAATACATTTTAATAAATTATATTATCATTAGTTTTTAATTTTAACTTTAAAAAACGAGATCAATCATTTTTAAAATACATGATGTAGATACAAATTTTAAGTATTTTATCAACATGATGTTTGTCTTTTTCAAAAAAATATATTAATTTTATATTATGTTTTTATACGATAAAATTTTATTAAATAAATTAGTTATCCAAACGCGGCTTTAAGTCTTTGCACGTTCCATTTGACATTATTAATCATTAGGGTCCTCATAATTTAAAATCCAAATACACTAATGTTGACGAGGTCTTCACTCGTCAATATATATAATATTATTTAATTGGTCATGAATTGAATGAACAAACAATTTCACTTTGCCCATTTTCTCCTGCTATGTAGTTTATATTTATATTGTTAAGTTTTTAAAATATATTAAAAATGTTAAATATTTTAATTCATATCATATTATTCTAAAAAATGTCAGAAAGTATTCTGAAAAATATTAAAAGATTCATTTAGCATATAAACAATATTTGATACGAGTTTATATATTAAAAATATTTCATGTGAATTAAATAATGTTTTTCCTATACCGTTACTTGCTAGGATCCTTTTCTTCGAAGAAACAGTAACGCGTACGCTAAACAAATTGAAAACAACCATTACACGTTAATTCAATCAACTTATAAGACGGATAAAAGATTAGCAAATCAGTAAATCAAATTTAATGAATAGTTAAAGGGGTGAGATTGTTGGTTTCCACATGCTAATGTTGATTATGCTATCAATGGAAGAAAAAGAGTGTGCATTGGTTCAGTATATTCCTCTCTCTCAGTATATACTCCCACCAATTAATTATTTTTTCTTTGCCCAAAATAATTTAACAAGTACGACTTTGACTTGACTACGGTGTTCCAATATGCTACTGCGTCTTGCTACCATCTTTCAATTTTTCAAAGATTCCACTCAACCTCGTCCAAGTTAATTAATTACACACAGCCAACCAACGCGCACTCAAAGTTCAAACCCTCTCAAATATTTCATTTTTTAAATATATTTCTAATCAAATTTGTAATTATTTTTTTTTCATATAATAAATATTGAACAAAATTATGTTAGAATCATTTATATTTTTTTTCTCATCTGATTCAATACTCGATTTGCGCATCCAGATACGAGTCTATCATATCACTTACTACTCAAACTAACTTTTGATAATTTTTTTAACCTCATACTCATGTTACGGGCATTTTTACTTTATATTATTATTATAATGATTGATTTTATACGTATGAATAAATTGAGTTATATTGAAATTATTTGAGATTAATTTGTTGCACAAGCTTCTGAAAAATGAAATCCTTTTTAAAAAATAAAATTTTAAAAATTGTTATGTATATCAAACACTCGGAGAGTACAGTAGGATTCCCGTGGAGCTATATAAAGGCACGTGGATTCTGGAGTGATCAATTCTAGGGTCCGCCTCGTCCTGCATCCGTATTAACATTAAGTTTTTTCTAATCGCAGTTTATATAAGTATTTATTTAATAATTTTTAAGTTATTACAGTAAATTAACATAATTAAATAATTATTAAGTATCTGTAAATGCAGGATAATATTAATAATTTTTTTTCTATTTGGTGAATTGGTGGGGTCCTCCAAAAAAAAAAAAAAAAGGGTTCTGGTGGGGCAGAGTTGACCGAAACTCACTACCATAGAGGCCCATTGGCAAGAGTTGCAACTCTACTTGTGAATTAGTATCCTCGACAAAAGTTGAAAAGGACAATGCTGTGTGAATGGAGATTTAAGGTCACATGTTTACGGACGACAAACAGTGATGTCTAGACTCTAGCTGGCTTAGCGGTTATGAAACATAATCCAATTTGGCCTCTCAAGTCTCGAGTCTGTCTTCCATGTCTCTTGGGATAAATTCTTATCAATAATGATACGTCTTCTTCTAATATTGTTTTTAATTTTATATTTAAAATATTATTATTATTAGGAAATTATAAATATTTATTCTTATACCTTGCTTGAGTCGAAGAAAAATGTCGACCGTGGTCCATATATGGAGGCTTAATTTGTAGAGTTATATTATTATAAAAACATTGGTACATTTTTATATTTATCTTTTCAATAATTTTATAATATTTTATTTATTATCTTAAAAATGTAATATATTAGAATTTTCTTCGTCTAATAATTAAGAGAATTTAGCGAAATAAAAGATAAACAAAAACATATAATCATCTTTATTACATGATACATGAATTCTACCTTCTTTTATGTTTAATATAACATATTGAAATACCCAATCGGAGACACATGCCTCATTCATTGGTGAATGTAGAATTCACCATGATGGAAAATAGAATGTGAATGTAGTACATATGTGATGCAGAATTCTACGGTGGGTGGGTCTGCAACTCTTCCAGACAATGAACTAATCAACATGGAAGGTCCTTAAAAGGGAGAACAGTGATCACTTTATAGCAGCTATTAAGTTTTTGCCTTTATCATAAAAAGTAACGTATACAGGATCTTCAAACGTTTATGAAAACACACGTTGTGTAACAGTTATGAATTCCAAACAATCAAAATCACGTTGCATTGTTTTAAATTTCGGGAGAAGGCAAAAATAGAGATGCTTTAGAATAAACATTACGTCAGATTTGGTCGTGAATCAAATGGTCACACCCGCCTCTACTGGCTTTCCTGTGCATATTAAAAAATCAAAAGCATTTTTCTTTAATTTTTTATATATGTATCTAATGATATATATATATATATATATAAATTAATAATTAATATTTTTAATGTTATTAATAGATTCAAATAAATAAAAAATTAAGAAATATTAATTTTTTATTAGAAATGATATCTTATAAAAATAGATTGGCTTGTTTGACTCGCAAATGAATAATATTTATCTGTAATCAAATTGATTTAATATATCCTAATTAATAATGTATTAGCTTATATCTAATACGTTTAACAACCTCAAAATATATTATTTTCTTTAAGGTTTGATTGGTACATAAAATTAGAATTATAGTTCAAAATTGTAACTCCTGTTCTATGTTTGAGTTGTACAAGAAATTAGGGCATAAAGCACTTATAATTTTAAATGAGATGTAATTATAGGTAAAATTAATAAAAAAATTAATTTATAAATGACAGTGACAATAATAAAAATAATAATTAAATAAAAGGAATAACGGAGGTGATAATTATACAATAGAAAAGGTAATGATGATAATAATTGCAGTTTTTATGATTGGTGGCAATAATCAATAGTGTTGGTGGGGATTATCAATATATAATTCGTATTTGTTTAATTGATTTTAAAACTTAATTTTTATAATTACAAATATTTATAATTATTTATAATAACATTACTTTATGAATTAAACAAATCATTCTTATTCTTTATTCATATAAGAATAATTTTGAATGACATTACTTACATGAGAATTTGCACTTTTTATTCTGGAGTGATATTATATTTGTTGGAGTAATAGGTGACGACATAATCTTTGCTTCAAAAACTTATGACAGATTATCATATTATCCTAAATTGAGTGTTTTTTTTTTTTCATGTTTCTTTTATAGTTTTCTTTGATATGTAGTCGGTGTGTACCGTTGGCACGATTGTATGGATTGCATATGATATGTGTGAATTTAAAAGAATTGAATTAAAAAAGGTGTAATTAACATTGTAAATTCTCAAGGAGTTGATAATAAAAAGTTTAAAATTATAAAACTTTAATTAAAATCTTTTCAATTATAAGAACTCAATTAAAAACTTAATAACATTATAGGGATTAACAGAATAATTTAATCTAATTATATTGATTGATGGTTTTTTATATATTTATTATGGATAGATAATTAGCTTGCATATCTTAACATGACACAGTAACCGGTAAAAAAAATTAGAAAGTTTAGCTGAAAAGTCAGACTTAAATGCAACTGACCTTTTCTTTTTCATTTTATAAAAAAAGATGAAAAACATAAATAATTGAAAAAAATTCCCGGATTTATTTAAAGAGTTTTACTTTCTTTTTTTTTATATATTTTAAAAGTTTATAGGCAATTCTTTGGTTTTTAAATTTATTTTTAATGGGATCCTTAATCACATTTATGCTGGATTCTATGAAGTACAGTGAATTAGTTTAAAAAATTTGAAATATATCAAGGGCTTATTAAATAATTAAATAAATGATTTAATCCCTGAATTATTTATTTATTATTTTGGTTTGGATACTAAAACAACCATGATAAGAGAAACCGATTAAAAATTTAAAGGATCTACTTTCAAATTTTTAAAGTATACAAAAATTTAAAATTCTCTAGAAATTCAGAAACTTATAAATTAATTTAAGCATAAAACAGTTTACGAATAAATGCTTTTGTTTTTATTAAGAGAAACAAATACACATAACATCAAAATAACATAAAGGTTGAGTTGTTTAGTTAAAGGTACTTAAAAGAATAAACTTGAAAATAATTGAAGAGAAATAAATGAGCTGTGTGGTTTGAGAAAGTATTTTTTGATTATACAAATATCATCTTATTTTTATTTTATTTTTTGTCTTTAAATATTTGTATAAAAATAAAAATCATGGAAATAAATGAAATAAAATAGTATTTTTATAATTATAACAATAAAATTGAATTTTCTTAAACTAATCACGAAGAAGGATATGATTCCCACCCATAATTGGTAAGTAAAAAAGAAACGTTGTCTTCAAAACTTGGCACAGTTTTGAAAGACATTACTAAGCAACTGGGAATGGAATAAACGGACTCCATTCCCCTAATGCTTTGCTCCATTGCATATCCCATTTACTATCACGCTTTTCTCTTTCGTCAATTTCACGTGGTAGGACCTCGGCGTTTACCTAATACAAGGACAGAAAAAACTCTTTTTTGGGTCAACAAAAAGGTGCTTTTTTATTCACTCCATTTGAACTGGATCACTAATAATGCAGAAGAAAACTAGTCAAGTGTAGAAGACGATTCTAGATGGACTGTGCATAGTGATGGCAGCGATGGTAATGGTTCAATATCTACTCAGTTGCAATTTTGTTACTGTCAAAGTGTATGGAAGGGTTAAAACAACGGACAAATTATACAGATATCAACCCAAAATCTTAAGATTAGGTTATGAGTCGCCGATCACGAGAATTATAGTAATCTACTGGAAGGCTACCAAATTAATGTCATCTCTAACCATGATGAACTTCTTAAGCCTCATTGTTTATTTATTTTCGTTTATTGTAACGTTCTGGGCTCTAATTCATGTTCTATTGGGCTCACTGATGACCCGAAAAAAATGTTTTAAGGTTCTGTTCGGTAACTAACAAGGTCAGTGAATAATGTGCTGTCACTTATTCATGAATGATATAACAGGTTTTTATTTTTGGTTTATTGATCGTTTTCAGCCTACGGTATATTTAGCTTAAAAGAAAAAGATGACAAATCTTAAATTGAGTTAAAGTCTCAGAGGTATGCGGATGGTTTTCAACAATGAATAGTCTCTTCATCAAATAAAAACATTGCAAAGTTTTTAAATGATATTCACACCTCATTGTTTGGTTTAAAAATAAAATAATAAAATTATATGAATGTTATGAAACTATTATGTAAAAAAATTAATTTATAATTAATATTATTTAACAAAATCATAAAATATTAAATTAATATAAAATTAATATTTTATTTACTTTTATAAACATTATACAACTCTTGAAATTTAAAAATCCAAGGAGTTTGCCATTTCAGCCTTCGGGATTAAAACATGTCAGAAGTCTCAACCTTAACTCACAATAATAGTATATTTAAGTGACCACTTGATACAGTAACATGAATTCAAATTGTTAATATAAAAAATAAATAAAACACCTTAAAAAGATTACATTTCACTCTATTCATTCTTAATTGCTCAAGCTTATTTTCATATATAAATAGGTAAAACCTCTCTCTCACTATATATATACCCATTTTCATACACGACTAAGATTAACACAAACCCAACAAGTAGAGATATATGAACAATTGCAAGAACGGCCAATTAAGAAGCATGCAAAAATGAAACCCATGCATGCAATATTAATATTGGACTTAGGCAAGAATCTCATCGAGAGGCTTGGCCTCAAGTTTGACATTATCCAAGTCCTGCAAATGCTTCTCTTTGGCAAGCTTCTTTAGCCTCGCAATCTCAAGGTCTTCGCTCATTTTCCTCCTATACATCTCCGCGAATGATATTGCTTTCTCCATCACAGGCTTCTCTCCCTCTCTAACCTTTAGAGGATACACAGTTGCCTCTTGTGCTGGGTTTTGGAATGTCGCTATGGACAAACGGCTGCAGTTTGAGTTCACCACTGCTTGGTGATCAGCATTCTTGAACCTTCCATTGCTCAGATACTGCCTCACATACCCATGTAAATATCTTAATTACCAGAATATATTCAGCGAATTAAGAACTCATAAGAGAAAATTCAGTGAAGACTCCACTATTTATTTGTACATTATTATTAATTGTGGTATAAAATAAGTCAAAACCAAAGAAATCAATGGTTCAATATTTATTATACGTTATTATTATTATAATAATAATCATCATAAATTATTATAATAATTATTTTGTGTGTTATATTACTAACTTTTACTTGTAGTAATAAGCAATTTACCTAGGAAAAAGAAACGATTAATACGGTACCGCATTCTCCCCAAAAGCTTTGCATTATTCCACATTAAAGACATTAGGACTTTGTTATTTTTAAACTATAATTAATAGTTAAACATAATTTTTGATAATTGTAGTTTTAAAAAATAAAAACATGATTTTTATTCTTAAAATATAAAAAAACAAATATAATCAAACAGTAGTATATGCAAAAATTATGGCAGTCCCTATAGTTTATGGGTGGTATTATTTGAGCAGGTCCAAACTTAATTATTGTATTGATCCGTGATTAATTTTGGACTACATATCAACTAATGTCTTTTTTCTTAAAAAAAGAAGAAGAAGAAGAAGACAAAACACCTTGATAACTTAGTTAGTTATGCTTTTTTGTAATGGCATAGTATATACACTTACATGACCATGATCTCCAAGGTTGACGACGAAAGCTCCATGAATAGGCTGAACGGTGATCCATGTGTTGCCATTATCTCTTGTAGCTTGAAGTCCACCAACCTCGTCTTGAAGGAGCAGTGTTATGGTACCTGGGTCTGTGTGCCTCTTCACCCCAAGCGTTAGCTCTGGTTGAGGGCATTTGGGGTAGAAATTCACGACAATCTTTTGGTCCATATCCACACATGCCTTCTTCAATGCTTCCTTATCCAATTCCATTGCTTCTGACAAAACCTCCAAAAGCTTGCATGACAAATCCATCAACTTCTCGCTGTACTCTTCCGTCACCTTTCTCCATCCTTCTGGCTTCTCTGGCCACCTCGAATAATCCCTATTCTTAATTGGCTGTGAAAAATATATTACTATCTCTCTCCAATCCTGCACCGCTTCTCCCTGCATGCACACCACCTCGGATCAAGAAATCGCATTGTATATTAATGGTCGGAAATCAAATTTGTAAATTTTTTAAGAGAGTACTCTTTTCATGCATATATAATACAAACATAAAAATAAAAATATATTGCATCGCATGTGATATGAATTTTTACTGATTTAAATAGTGAAACTCTATTAAGGGTAATAAAAAGAATCTATTTTTTTTCTTTTGTGGTCATGTATAAAAATCATATAACTCACGTGTGCACGTTGTATATATAACGTATAATAGTATTTTCTCGTATATCATATTTGTAATAATTCTTTTATATTTTATAAAAGTACTATTAAATAAAATATACTTATTTTAATATATAATATCTTTTTATTTAATAAAGATATTGTCAATGCGATTATTTATCAATGAATAATTAATACACTTTATTAAATACTATTTATGACAACTTCGAAGAGTAAATATTGAATAGTGTTTGGAGAAGACTAACTATCATTAGAACAAATATGTAGGTGTAGAATCATATTTATTAATAGTATTTTTTACTTAAAATTAAAACTTCACTTGAAAAACACATGTTGACCTTTAATATTAATTTTTATTATATAAATGATAACAAAACTCTAATTTTAAGAAATTAAAAAAAAATTCTTGAAATATCGTTCATAAGTTTTATGCTAATCCATCTAGGGATTACAGTTTGATCTTTCTGAAATAAATATTTCACTTAAAAAAAGCCATCTTAACCTCATCGATGACAAAGAAAGTAAACTCTACCAAATTCATTAGTTATGTAGAAACGTAACATCAGCATTTGCACCTAATATGATTTCGGAACTATTGTCGATTGAAATAGCATGAACAATCAGCTAGAGATAATATATATATATATATATATATATATATATATATATATATTATGGATAAATAATAATAATAATTACTTGAAGGTGGCTGGAGACTAAGAAACCACCCTTCTTGCCACCGGTCATGTCAAAGATAAGCTTCTCTTCTGGTGGCAATGCGAAGAACTCTTTTGCAAGACGTGTCATCTCCGACACGAGTTTAGTGTCCACACTGTGATCAACAATCTGAAATATTCCCCACTCCTCAAAAGCCTCCACAATCTTCTTACATATCTCTTCTCTGCGCCCATTCACCTCATCGATTCCAGCCAGTGAAATAACTGGAATCTCGTCGCTGAATTCATTGTAAGCCACTTTTGGACGCTCATCTTCGTCACGAACGAAACGGGAATCGAGGGTGTTTTCCTCAGACAGAAAAGTGAGCGTTTTGGCTGGTTCCATTGATGACTACAGGGTAGGGTTTTGCTATGGTTGTGGTCGTGTCTGATTTTATTTTCTTTTGTTTGGTGTGAATGAATGAATGTAGGAATCGAAATTCGAGGATAAGAGAATGAAAAGATTGCGTTATGTGAGTGGCAACTGAAACTAACTCCCTTTTCCTCATGAATTATTAAATGAATGAATGGTCGAAACCTTAGGACGTTAAAAATCATGCTGCTCCATTGCTACCAACCATTCACTTTTTCTAGAAACTATTTATTGATAATTATATGCTTACTTTTAGGGCCAATCTTAATTTTATCCTGTAATGGATGGTAACTAATACAGCATTAAACTAAATAGTAGCTCATCTTTCAATTTTTTGGGATATTTAATGATTTTTTAAAATTTTCGTGAAAAGCCTTGAATGACCAAGATTTAGAAATTAATGTTATTTTTTGTCAGATGAGAAAGAATGATAAAAAATAAGTAATAATGCGATTAGACATATACTATTCCTAAAACATTAAGATATTACTTACTAATTGGAGAAGATTCCAAATCCACTTTATTTACTCTCACTGTTTAAGTTTTGTGGAGAATGGAAATGTCTAGTGTTATATGCGTATCCTTTTGTTTATAAGCTGTTTAATTTAAGAAAATAATTTTTACTTCACTTTTTAATTTATATTAATAATTTTATAAATATAATATTATTTTTTTAAGTATACAAGCAATAAAAGAATATTTTATTATTATTTTTACATATATCATTAAAAAAATTCTTAAACAAAACAAATCAAAACTGAGCTGTAACAATTTTCCCTTTTTTTTAGGTCGTGAGATGTAACAAGTTTCCTTAAAACATAATGGTCCACCCACAACAACGCCATGCCTAGACCATAGCCCATAGTAAAAACCAACGATGGCCCAATCAAGGCCCAGAATTCAAAAGAGAGAAACTAACGGCTACTTCCTTTATAGATTAGTTTAGGATAAACGCGTACGCGCCAACGGTCATATTCATCCTATCTCTTTTATAAACCCCACAACTTTGTTCTCTGAAAATCGTTGAATCTTTTTCTGTGCAAATTGTCTGAAGCATTCAACTTTTGGCATTATTGGGTTATCTTTAATCGATTTCGATGGAGACCCCATCATCCACAAGAAGAGTAACAAGATCACAGACCCTGGCCGCTTCCAATGATGCCCTCACCAATAGCAATCGATCAGCATTAATAGACATAACAAATGATTCTCCAATTGTGGGGCTTGCGAATGGGGTCTTAAATCTTGAGACCCCATTGGCAAAGCAGAGAGGAAGCAGAGTGAAAAAGACGCCAGGATCAGGGGAAGCCTTGCTGAGGGGTCAGGTGAAGACCCTTTTGCAGAAGGTGGAAGAAGAGGCAGAGTTTTCCAAGATCTCGCTTGAAAGCATGCCATTTTTTGAGCCAACGCCCGCGAATGCTCCTCAAATTCAGAGTCTTTCTGGTTTGGTTTCGGTTACCCCTTATGTTGTTCTCCGACAACCATTAATTTCTCAGGTTGGTCCAGCTAAGAAAAAAATACTGTCAACAATTTTTTTAACACCTAAATAAAATTTAAAATAGTTCATGTTTGGTTGAGATTATTTTAAAAAAATAATAATCATATATTTTTTAAGAGTTCTTTTTAAAAGGTGACAAAAAAAATAGTTCTATTTTTTCAAAATAAGTTAAACTAAACATGTATTAGATTATTTAGTGAAAGTAGTATAAAAACGAGTGTATTGAAGGTCAAAAAATAGCTTTTTCTAGCTGAGCAAATTGATCTTATTTTAATTTTGATGCATCGTAGAGAAGCCCTAGGTGAATTATATTAAGGAATTTAACAAATGTTAATTTCATGATCTTTATGGTTAATCTTATGTCATAATTTTGGTGGTAGGTGGTGAATCAAGGGTTGGTTGGAAAGAATCAAGAGAAGTCTGAACCTGAAAAGAGTCCGATAAATAGGTCCCTTTTACTGGATTTCTCAGACAAATCTCAGTCTTCTGATGCATCAGAAGAACGTTCCTCAGAACTTGGTTACGAGGAAAGAGTACAAGGGGAGAAGGACCCCACAGCAACCACAGAAGATGATGATGGTGATGAGGAAGTAGCTGAAGATTATTATGAGGATGAATATGATGAACTGTGTAAAGGGTTGAACAACATTAGTATGAATGAGAGGATGGCTCCCAAGTTTGCAGGAAAGCACACAAGATTTGTTTACAACAGTGATGACGAACTTGTGGAGGAAGAGGTGGAAGAAAACAACTCTGTTCAGAGTGCTTCGCCTAATATATTGCGTTTGGAAGGATTGCCAACTCCAAAGGGGAAACACTTGCGCTTTTCTGAGGAGGAAATATCTGCTTTGTGATTCATGGATGTCCATTTCTTTTTCTTGTTTCTTTCTTATTCTTTAGATATTATTCGTGAAACAGAAAATGCCAATGAGTGACCACAAACACGTGGTCAACACCCAAATGCTTCAGTAAACTGTCACGACCTTTTTATGAAATTAGTGTGCTAAGCTCCTATATTTAAATGCACCTCAATGCAGAAAATTAATTTAACTACACCCTTCCAGCAAAACAAAAGAAAATGTTATTGAAGATAAAATTTTAAAATGGTAAACTTTTATCATACAAAGCATATTTACTATATTAAGAATATAAAAATTATAATAATTTTTTAACTACAAAATAGCTTAAATATATATTTTTCCTTTAATTTTAGACCCTCTGTTAAACACAAATTTATAACAAAGTAAAAGACTAAAAAAAAAGTCATTTGAAAAGCATAAAACCAAAATTTCACTTAGGACCTAAAACATATTTTAAGTCAATTAAAATTGATCATGCACATGCTTATTAAAATCAATTGCAAGATCATGTTAGCAAAATTGTTAAATGAATTATTTCAAAATTTTAATGATAAGTAAAATAAAAATTTTATCAAAATGTTACATATTTTGTGATAATAAAATATTTTTAATACAATAATTTTTTAATTTAAATAAAATTTTTCCATATTTTATTATATAAAAATAATAACAATGAAAAAGTCATGAAAAAAAAAACGCTAATTAAATTATCTCTAAGTAGTAGAAAGAAGTTTTAAATAAATATATGAATAATATGATGCGGTCACAATTGGATCACACGTTAAAAGCTGCATCTCTACTCATGATTTTACATATATACAAGTCGTACGAATAAAAACGGATCATTTCTACAAATCAATGACCTCCACGTAATACATATACGGCTACCGAGTGTGGATATTGCTCTATCTAGCCTATAGATGATAAAAAATGAGAACCTGAGGTATGGAATTACAGTTAGGCTTAAACATAAAAAGTAGCTGGAATATGTACCTATATTTACGATACAGTCACAGACTTCTCAATACAACAAGATCTTAGAACCAGGGATGCCATGTTGGATCCATCATGCACAAGTTCCTGGGGTTTAAGGCAGCTTCAACCAACTCATTAACACCCCTCTGCACAGGTTGGGGTGGATCCATGACATTCTCCTCCTATATAAAAACATAGACGTAAATACTATTGGAAAGGACATCAAATGTACTCATAAATATGAACTGGCAAACTGGTTAATCAATAAGGGAATCAGAAAATTAAAGGAAAAAAAAAAAAAACAAACGGTTACAATAGGAAAAATAGAAGTGCAGTAATCCCTTTCTTTTCGTTTTTTTCAGTAATTTTTACTAGCATTCATAAACTTGTCCAAAGGATCGTATGGATTCCTTTACTTTAGGTAGCTGACACAATACTTTTAGAAATTTGTTACATAAACAATTAATTATCTCCTGTTCTATCTATCCAGCAATTGAAAAGGAAACCTCATTTTAAAATTTTCAATGAAATTAGAGCAAAGGATAAAAATTTCAGAAAACAGAACAGGGAACGCAATTTTGTTTAGTTGCTCACCTCTTCAGAAAAATTCTGAGGAGCAATGCCCTTAACCCTTGCAATAACATGTTCCACATTTGTGATAACCTTCTGTTTGAAGTCAACGGGGCTCATAGTACCGCCTGCAGCCATAGGAGCCATGGGCATCCCAAGCGGTCTTCTCCAAGACCAAGACAACAGCTCATCACGAAAAAACATTGCCAGATGATGCCATAGGTGCTGACTTTGCTGCAATTCCAGCAATTTCAGAACAAATCAATTGGTAGTCTTGCATTGCATGATTGAAAAGCATTTAGGTTAGATAGATAGATAGATAGATAGAGAGAGAGAGATCAGTTCTCACTTTAGGAGAAGCCACTGCCTGTGCGGCTGCACACATCGAAGATACGATAAGGCCTTCCACACCATGGGAAAAGAACGCCTGCATATTCCTTGTTAGCCTAAATGGGACTGGCTCATTAAACTCAATCAATCCATTTGCATCATAGGCAGGATGAAAATCAGTTTGAAATATTTTTCCAGTGTTCTTCGCAAACAAAATCTTGTTCGGAGACCTCCCACCAATTTGTAGCATAAAAGACATGAAACTTGACAGCGCCAACTGGATGGCAAATTGCTTCTTGAACGCCCAACTATGGTTGCCACTTGGTAGGGTTTTGTACATGTACTGTGAAAAAATGTTGTCAGTAACAAGATTTTTTGTTATTTCATTATAGGCTTGCAGACGGAGATCAACAACAGCTTCAGGTGATATTTGCCCAGATATAGCCTGGTTCAACTGCTCCTTGAAATAGGTTATTGGGTGATCTGCCTCACGGTCATTCCTTGCACAATGATTCTCGTAGACCTCAAGGAAAGTACTGTACATCAAATCATCTTCTACCATGCGAACCTGTCCATGCAACATTTCAAGCAAGATTAGTGGATACTTATAAGTGGCTAAAGGGTTTCAGTCTTGATTTAATATAATCCATGGGTATCTCTCTAAAATATAAAGGAGGAAAAAGAAAAGAAAAATAATGTATACAAGGGAAACTAGTCTAACCTGAGACCAAACAGGAATAATTATTGGTGTATGAATGCATATGTGACGGCGTCTTGATTCCTTGTGCTTCTCAAACATTTGGTTCATCACTCGGAAGAGCTGCAATATGCGCTCATCACTTCTAGCATTGGGAGTCAAAGACGTCTGGACAATAAAATGGCGTTGGGAACCATCAGAGCCAATTAGTGTCAAACGCCGAAAACTGCTCCCATGCCTCCGCACAATTGGAATATCAGCTGCAACCCTATCCAATTTCACGGTGTGATCTTGTGCAATTTCCTGTAACAAAATAATGGAGAATCAGTATAGGTTGCACCAAAACCTCCTCAGGCCCTCTTGTGAATATTTTAATCAAGATCCATATTGTAATATAAAAAATTAATTAAACAATAAAATTGAAATGTTAATGTTAAAAAAAAAAAATCAGCAGTCACCTGATCAGTGAAATATTGCCCAGGAACTTCAACATCAATAACATGGAAGTCCCGCAATACCCTGCTTTCTTCTTCTAGCTTCAATACTGCCGGAAACCTGTCCTCAACATTGCTTTGAAGAACATTTTTCCAGTGCTTCAACCGCTCAGTCAGTTGAGAGAGGGTGGATGGAAATGTAGCAGTGCTTTCTGGATCAAGATCACGTTCAAAATCCTGTTTGTACTCCCTCACAAAATCAACATGCTTATTTACAGCATCAGCTGAAAAACAAGCCCTACAAACACCTGAGAGCTCTTTCTTAAGAGACTGAGGAACTTCTGCAGTTGTAGCTGTTGGATATTTGTAACAGCGGTGGAGCAATGCATTAACCACTGCCAAAAGTCTCTCCTCAGGAAGAGTGACAAACCTTGAACCAATTTCTGTTAGCAGGATCTGCAAAATAAAATGGTTTGTCACTGTCATCCAAGTGGCCTAGTTTAGGCAACACACTATCAAGACTTATTCTTAGATATATTGGCAAAATTGGCGCCATATAGACATATATAAAAAAATCATTTTATCTATACTGCTAGTTCAATCCACAGAAACATTACTTAATGCAAACAACATGAAAGATGAACTTCCAGGAGTACCAAACAAGCTTAAAATTTTGCTACATATCCAACTTTATACAAAAATATACTGTTCTTTTTCAAGTGCCTGTGTCCAGCGTTCCCCTCCATGTCCACTTCACTATACAATTAAATGTAAATTATCATCTCATAGTTTATCCCAAAAGCTAGCATCAATAATTTACTTTAATTATAAAGCTAAAAATAGCCATTTTTTCAGACATGCAACCAGGAGACAGGATGGGGATGGTGAGATTGCACAGAATTACTGTTAAGCAACGCAACCTAAAAAATCTGAATGAAGATTACCTCAAGTTCACTAGCCAAATTAGCATGCTTGCCCCGAAGAGCCTCCATTATATCTTTTGCAGCATCAAAAGCACTGGTAGCTGAAGCCACAAAACCCAAAGCACCAGCCCGTCTTAAAGTATTCTGACCACCTTCATTGAGGTTTGCAGAACCTTGCTGCAAAGGTTGGTCATTTCCATTGTGTATGCTGCTTTCTGCACTTGTGGACCTTTCAGGTTCTTGCCCATGCGAGTTTCCACCATCATGAGATACAATTGCACCAGCAGGCTGGGAGCCTTGGTGGGCTTGAATATCAGATGGCAAGGTACTCCCACCTGGACCTTGTACTCTTGCATTTCCATCAGCCAACCCACCAAGAGAACCTGCACTAGCACCAGAAACACTTTGTTGTGTTCTTTGTTGAGCCATTGCTATTCTACCAAGTTCAGATTTATTGGCAACATCACGCCGTTCCAGCAAGTATGTGCGCAACCAATAATACAGAGCCTGAAATTCAGGAGAACACAGATAATTCAGGATCAACTTAATTTGCAATGAACAAATGTAATTATTCAAATAACAGTCACCTGAGGATACAGGGTTGCAATCTTCAAAAGAACAAGTTTGCAATGAGGAGCTTCTGTCCTCTGCAGGGAGAGCAAGAGCTGTGGAATCCAAGAGAGCCAAACCCAATGTGGTACTTGTTCATAGTACTTATCAAACGCCCTTCCAACAGGCTCATTAGGAGTATCAAAGCTAAGAAGATAAAGCACACGAGCTAGATGGCTTCTTGAATTGGACACACCAAATTTTATACCTTGCAAGAAGCAGCTGACAGCATATTCCAACCAAATCTCTTCATGAGTTTCTCTGTAAGCCTGTTTGGAGTAAAAGATAGTTGAGCAGTAGGCTCAAGTTGTAATACATAATAGTCATAGAAAGTAACAGCAATAAAAACAGACAAGATTGTTTACCATATCACAATAGTTTCCCCAGCTTATCCATCCCTTAGGCAAGTTTTTAAAAAGACTAATGGCATTTGAATAAGCATGATTAGCACTCTCA